ACGAGTTAATAACTTTGGATGAGTTTAAAAACTCTATAAAAGAGTTAATTTTGTAAAGGAATTTAATCTTTTTTAACTTAACCGAAATGGTTCACAAGCCAAGGCAAAAGCTCCAAGAAAAGCTCTTAATAATGCTCCAAAGATCCGATCCAAAAGATCCACTTTCTCCTCCTCTTTCCTTCCTTTTTTCGAACCGAATTACTTTTCCAGCTGACTTTTTAGCTATTTATAGGGGTTTAAGGGGTGTAACTCACCCCTTAAATTGCTTTTTAATGAGGGTTTAATGCCCTTAATTTATGGAAAATGGTTTTAGAACCGTTTAAAATATGTTTGAATTAGTCAAACGCGAGATTCACATTCTGGAAATGACCATCGCGTTTAGAACTAAAAATGAGACAGTGAGCTCTGCGTTTTAAGCTTGGAACGTGTTGATGAGCTCCGCGTTTTGTGCTTGGAACGCGGTGATAACTTCCGCATGTTGCTTTGAAGAAATCATCAACTTGTAATCTCTTCTGTCAAAGTATTGTAAGGATTGTCATCTTGTAATCCTGGCCTTTGGCTCTTTGAGATGTGAGAATCGTCAATTTGTAACTCTTATTTGATGTTACGAAAGTAGTCAGATTGTAACTTCCATCATCAGTTGTTGTGAGAATTATTAAATTGTAACTTTCATTGATTGATATGAAAGTCGTCAAATTGTAACCTCCATCATTTGTGTTTTTTTGTGGGGATTAGTTATTTGCAGTGATTTTTAGACGGTCTACAGAAGTCCCTCCAAAGTTTTTAAAAGTTTACGGTTGACTGGAATGAATTTTTGAAATACTTTGGATCTCGACTTTGTTTGATATTGGAATCGCTGAATCCTCAACATGAAGTATTTGTTCATTACATCCGCTATAAGGTTATCGTGAACTTGGTTGCAGAAACTTGTCACGCAGGATCTGTACGAAAGTGCATGCCGTGGCTCTACTTCTAAAATGTAGGGGTGGGCCTTGCATTTTATTGCTTTGAAACACGGAGGTAAGCCTCGTGTTTAGAGATTAAAACACGGAGGTGAGCCTGGTGTTCAGGAGTTGAAACACGGAGGTGAGCCTTGCATTCAGGATTTGAAGCACGGAGGTGAACTTCACATTCAGAAGTTGAAACGCGGAGGTGAGCCTCACGTTCAGAAGTTGAACCAACTTAATATGAATGCGAACATTGCGTTTAGGTGGGATTTTTGCCTAAAATCCCGTACTGATTTGATAGCTCCATCTGTTTATAAATAGACCACCAAAGGTCAAATCAGAGTCCACCGACTCTTATTTTCATCTGATTTTCTTAACAAATTTTTTTGTTGAATTTTTTTTGTTGTTCCTATCTTCAGTGGCAATGCCAATGAAGTTGCCAGCGAGGCTAAAGCATCCGCATAGGCGTTCTGGACTCATGGATTATATCCGATAAAGAAGCCTTTAAATTTTTAGGCTAACTTTAGAGTCGCGAAGTGGTATAGGACTAGATCCCCATTACGTACTTCATATTCTCCTCGGACTTGATTTACAATAAGTTGAGAATCATTGTAAGCCTCGAGATATTAAATGTTGAGCTCCTCGGTCAACTGCATCCCTAATAGCAAAGCGTTGTATTCTGCTACATTGTTGGTGTGGGGATCGGTTAAGGAAAATCCTCTTAGGATCACATGACCACTTGGGGACACAAGCACCACCCCCACACCAGCTGTGATTTCTCCATCATGTCTTTCTCTAGATGCTCCGTCGAAGAACAATTTCCATATTTGCATGACTTCTTGAGTTATGCAAGCTTCTGCAACCTCATCTGGTAAATCTTCATATAATTTAGAAGAACCGGATACCAGATGGTCGACTAAGAGATCTGCCAGAGCTTGGCCTTTAATTGCCTTCTACGGCATGAATTGCATAGAATATTGAGATAGAATTATCACCCATTTTGCGAGGAGGTAGTTTAATGAAGACAACATCATCATGAGTACCCTTAGGAAATTACTTTAGAAATGACATAGATCGTTTGTTCGACTAGGTAGTGTTGCATTTTCTAAACAGCAAACACTAAGGTAAAACACTCTTTTTTCTACTGGATTGTACCAGTGTTTAGCACCAATCATAGTTCTGCCGAGGTAGTAGATTGCATGTTTATGACCTTGAATATTGTTTTGGGCTAGTAAAGCCTTAAGAGAATGATCCATGGCTCTCACATATAACAGGAATGAGTTTCTTGATACCGGAGCCACTAGAATGGATGGCTGGGTAATGTATCGTTTGATTTACTCAAACGCCTTTTGGCAGTCCTCATCCTAAAGGAATGAAACTCCTTTCTTCATCAAATTGGAGAACGAATGGCAGCGTCCCAAAAGTTTTGAAATGAATCTTCAGATAAAAACCAATCTGTCTTGCAAGCCTCTGAGTTCTTTGATGTTCTTCGAAGGCGGCATTTCTTGGATGACACAAATCTTTTCTAGATCGAGGAAAATCCTTTTGGATGTGACTATAAATCCAAGGAATTTACCGCTGTCTACTCCCAGGAAGGATTTAGTCATATTCATTTTCAGTTGATGTGCTCGCATAATGTCGAACATCATTTTCAGACCTGAGAGGTGATCTCCTTTCTTTTGACTCTTCATCGCGATGTCATCCACATAACATTCTACCATTTTGCGTAGATGTTCATGAAAAATTGTATTCATTACACGCTGATATGTTGCACCGGTGTTCTTCAATCTGAAAGGTATTACTGTATAACAGTATACCCCCAATGGTGTTCTACAAGCTGTATGCTTTTCATCTTCATGGTACATTTTGATTTAATTGTACCCTGAGAATCCGTTCATAAAAGACATCCGTTCATACCTACAGGTATTATCAATCATGACATATGTGATGGGGAGTGGAAATTCATCTTTTGGACATGCAACATTTGGGTCATGAAAATCGATACAAATCCGGACCTTGTCATTTTTCTTTGGTACTAGAATAATGTTAGCTACCTAATCAGGATGTTATTCTTCCCTGATGAAACCTGAATCGATAAGCTTCTTGACTTCTGATTCAATTGCTTTCATGTTCTCTGGACGGAACCGACGTTGTTGTTGTTTAATGGGTTTCATATCTGGATCGATGTTGAGACGATGCATGGCTACCTTTGGGTCCAGGCCAGACATGTCTTCATAGTTCCAAGCGGAGATATCTGTATATTCTTGGATCAGAGATATAAGGTCATCCTTCTCGGATGGTGATAAGCTTTCGCTTATAAAGATTAGTTTGGGATTAACTTCGTCTCCCATATTTATTTGGATCACTTTATCTTCAGTGGGTGACTCAAGTTGTTCGAAGCACATGTCTCATAAGATGTTAAGACGTTTGATCCATGGGCCATTGTCTGATTCTATCAACTCTTCATCATCCTCTCTATCATTATCTGGATGACTAGTTGAGGCCATGTTTATAGACATACTTTTGAAGAGTGCTCTAATGCTCACATCAGAGTGTTCCGGATGAATGGTCTTGATGCAAATATTTGTCGGCTTTATTTTCTGAAGGGGAAGGTGTTGAGACATAGCCTAGCCCTCTTTCAGTTTTATGAAAATAATCAGGAGGTTTTTTTTTTGGAGTGAAAGATCGAATTGGTGTTCGCCTTCCTTTTTCGAAGTTTAAACCTTCCTGATTATGAAAATCATAACCTATATTTCTCATCATATGGAGGGACTTAGGCCTATAATGATGGAATTGTGGGATTTCGGTGTCATCCTCTGAACTTTTCTGATTTTATAGCTCAAAGTTGACTTTCCCAAAATAGATCTGCTTTTGACCTTTCTTCTTGGCCGGGACCATGAAGAAGGCTTTCTGCATGTCTTCCATCTCCTCGAATGTGGTGAAAGATGACTTGACCAACAGATTAAGTGATGCCTCAGCAGCGTACAATGTATGCCATGGATCTGTGCTTAAATCTGTATCAACCATTGTTTTCTTACATTTAGAGAATACATCAGACATGTATTCCAAATTAAAATTTTCATTAATGTACCTCTCACCCTCACTAGGTATATCATTATTATTAAGCTCATTTTGGCTCATTACATCTGGATTCAATTCTCACAGACACTCTTCCTTGGGTTCGGGCTCGGCATCCGCTTCGTTACCACTGTTGAGATCTTCTTTTGGCTGTTCTGATTGTTGGGAGTCCAGATAGAAAACTAAGTTAGTGTGGTAGTTTTCCACCGCCTTGAATTGTTGCTTTTCAGTTATCAAGGTTCTGACTTCTCTCTCTTCATTAATATACTTCATCACTTGATGGAGGGTAGACGGGATAATGCGATTCGTATGAATCCAAGGTCGTCCCAACAATAAATTATAGGACGTGTCCGCATCTATGATGTAGCAAGTCACTTCTGACTTGAGGTCTCCAATCTGACACTTGAGTTTGATTTTTCCCACGGGCCGTGTACTATTGCATTGACCAAAGATAGTGGTCTGGGTGGAGTTTAATTGATGTAGAGGAATCCCAAAGACTTGCATGACCCTGTATGGCATGATACTGAACGCTGAACCTGGGTTAACTTGGACTCGACTGATCTCAAAAGACCCCATATACCCTGTATAATACAAGGGTCTGCCATGCTTATGCTTGATTTGCATATCTTCCTATGTGAATGATATGCAAGGCAAACTTTTAACAGCTTGAAAGCATTGTGCACAGGAAGGTCCTTTTGTAGCTTTTGAGACTACAGGAACTTGTGTGATGAAGCTCTCTGTATCCGTTAAAGCTTCAATCAGAGATTTTCTTGTGGATTTGGACAGCCTTAAAAGCTCATAAAGAATGATTCTGGCAAGAATGTTAGCCAATTGCGCTATGACATCAAAATGGAAAGATTGACTTGATCCCCCGATTTCTTGTTGGAGAAGGTTCTTGTTGTAATGAACCTCCCTCTGCTTTCCCTTGTCGGCTGTTTTCTTGGGGACAGAACCCCCGGCCTCTTCAGGCTATTCTCATGCTTCTTGAGCAGTTTGATCATACTTCTTCAAGTATGTCTTCCCCGACCTAGTGCCTAATCTGGGATTTGCTTCTTGGTCAGCGACAAAAGCAGTCCTCTCCTCTTCTAAGTCAGTGAGAGTGACCAGATGTGTATCATCTTCATCTAGAGAGGGCCTAATCATATAGGAAGATTTAACCTTGCTTCTCTTTTTCCTCCCTCACTCAATTGTCCACTGTTGATCTTTAAGCAAGTCGGGATTGTAGGTGTCTAAAAATGCCTATGGGTGCCCGCACACAGCTCAAGACAAAGAGAAGGCGATGAACGTCATTATCCGAGTCAAAGAGGATTATCCGACGCCGACAAGCGCATGAAGCGAATCGGCAAACTGTTGATGACACGACAACAAACCACCACAATGGCAAACGCCAAGTGGACTGCACGCGTCAATCAACTCAAAGCGTACAAACGCGCCCAACAGTCAGTTAACATGCACGCATCATTTAGCTCGTGCATGTCAATTAGTTCACGCGTCAATCAGTTCGGGCGCGTCGGTCAACACGCGTGCATCAATCAAACACGCGCGTATATCAACCAACGCGCGTTCTACAGTTAATCCCGCAACGAAGCGTGCAAGTCAACAAGACGATCAAATATGTAAAACGGGGAAAAATACAAGTCCCGGGTTTTGACGATTTTCTCGAGATCTTTTCAGTTCCAGAGGTTCCCAACTAACTTGATATCATCTACAAACATGGTCAGGCTGTTATTGACTAAAGATAAGGCCAAATCACTTGTTCTCATCCAAATAACCGCTTCCGAAGCCCTATAAATACAATCATATGGCCTCCTTTCAGCGGGCGGAGTTATTATCAAGACGTGGAGGTGCTGCTGGATTGAGGAGTCAAGGAGCACGAATTTCAGCGAAGGCAAATTAGATCCCGATGAACTTCGGCATAAAGAAGGAGCTATTCGAAGGATTTGAACCCCGTCCGTCCGTCCCTTGAGATTAGGCTTGGTCTTAATCTCGAGAAGAGCCCTGATTTCGCTTGGTCGATTTCAGCGCTTCAAATCAAATACTTCCTCGGCGAAGGCGAAGCTCTGCCGAACTTTTCATCAACCGGATTCAGATCTAAGGCGGTCCACGGATAAACCCTGGCACATGCAAAGATCCAACGCAAAGCAGCGGGTGATAAACGTCCTCTGCGTTTGTTTTGACGAGAGTTGTAAACTTTTGTTTTCATTGTGTAAAAGTCTTATAAAAAGACAATCTTTTTTGTTTTCATTGTAACGATTGAAGTTGTAATGAATACCGCAATGAATACATCAATTTTCGACGCAAACAGGGATGGACCCACATTATCTCTTCTTTTGGAGTGGTAAGAGGTATCCATCCTTTATCTTTCTGACCATGAAGGTCAGAGTTTTTCAGATGTAGCTCTCCTTTGGGGATAGGAACGACGCTGTTAGGAGTCGACACATGTGGAAAATTCTCGAACTGGGTCGATATCATGTTGGTATATACGGTCTTCTATTCTGATTTCAACTTGAGCACTTCGACGTCAACCAATGCATGTAGAATATTTTTAAAGATATAGCATCTGTTTGTTAAATGATACGAGTTGCCGTGTGAGCACCCTTTGGTTGCGGAATTACCAAAAGGTGGGTTGAGAAGAGGATGACCAAAACACAAGAACAATTCAGTATGGCGAAGGAAAATACCTTCTCTAGATTATGAGTATGAAAAGATTACAATCCCTCTCTCACAATCTTACTAGAATTGAGAACAACCTCCCAACTCTCCCTCTAAACCCTAATACAATTATTAGAATTCTCTCTGAGATCTGATTGTTTAGAACCCTAAAACAATCCTATTTATAGATGTGCAAACGTGGATGGCAATCTTGTAAATAAATAAGCCCAAAAGAATCAGGAATCCCTGTCAAAACAGAATCCAAAACGAAACAGGAAACCTAGAAATCGCGATTCGGTCGACCGCCAGGCTTGGTCCGGTCGACCGGCCAGAGAGTTTTCTCAAACCCTGCATCGTGCAGGTTTTCCGGTCGACCGGCATGTGTGCTGTGGTCGACCGGCCAGAGATCTGCCAGTTACCCTGTTCTTTTGCACGTTTCGCTTCTGCTGACTTCTTCCACTGTCTTTTTTGGCTCCATCCATGCTCCTATTCCCAAGATATGAGAATCTCCTATCCTCAAGCTCCCATGAGGATCGCTAAGCTCCTGAAGAGAAGATACACCCGTATCATGGGTCCCCCCTTTAGGAACTTGAAGTCCCATTCAAGTTAGAACTGAAACTGAGGGAACTCGCGAGCCCCTCCTCCTTTTCTGAACTACCTGGCCTTGCTAGGAATCTGATCTCGACGTCCGATCGGAAATAACTCATTCATCCCGCGTCTCGTCGTAGTCACTTCTCGCTCCAAGTTACAATCCTTAATCGATGGCTTTTTTGGAAGTCTAATGCACAGCGAGGCAAACTTCTTGCTTGCATTCACTAACCTCTTCGCTCGCGTCACCGTTCCCAAGCTTGTCTCCCTCGGAAGAGATGCCGAACGAAATATGAACCTTTCACCACCTTTGGTGAATATATACTTCTGAGCCCGCCTCTCGTAGATCGCATATCTATCCCATAAGTACGGATTGCCCAGTATAATCTGACAAACATCCAATGAAACTACGTCGCATGTGACCTCGTCAATATACGACTCATGGAGCGCAAATCTTACAGTGCATTGATCAACTACACATAGCTTCTCCTCCTTCTGAATCCACCCCAATGGATAGGGCTTCGGATGCTTGACCGTCTTCAGACCCAGCTTCTGAACCAAAGCTTCGGATATCAAATTCTTCTCGCTGCCCGGATCAACTATGGCATCAACCAAACTGGTATTCACTTGCAATTTAAGAACAAAGAGCTGCTCTCTCGGGTCATTGTCCTCTTTCGTGGCCTGTTTCCCCGTCATAAGATTGAGACTGCTATTAGGCTCTGTCATCCCCGGGACTTCTTTCGGACCTTGAGCTATCATGTATGCCTTTTTCTCCTCCTTCTTCTTCAACCCTCTTGGTTTGAGATGAGGATACTTCTCCCAGCACCGATCAGCTTCGTGCCCTGTCTTCTCGCAGTGACTACAAATCAGCCCTGCTTTCCCTGGATCACCCTTCTTCTTCTCCTCCTTAAACTGAGAACCACTAGACTCGCCTCCAACTTGCTTTGCATCCCCCTTTGCTTCGTTGCTCTTCTTTTGCTTGCCCTCAATGGCAATGGCCTTCACGCTCGCATCTGCAATAGTCTCGACCGTGAATAACCTCATCTCCTTTCGGATGTAATCGCTCAATCCCGCCATATACTTCATGAACACGGAATATTCCTCTGTCTCAATGTTAAGGACCATCGCCTGCTGCTGGAACTCCGTAGTGTATTCTTGAACGGTTTGATTGACCCTTTGGCGCAAGCCGTACCACTTGTACCAACGTTCTTCAAGGAATCCCACCGGATAGAACTGTTTCCTAAGTAGTTCCTTGAACTTGTTCCACGATACCGCTTTCTTCTCCTGTTTACAATAGGATTTCCACCACGTCAACGCGTGCCCTGAAAGCTTTAATGTCGCGAACACAATCTTCTCTTTTGACGAATAGCCATAAAGAGTAAAATACGTCTCCATCCGCTCGATCCAGTCATCAAGCCTCTCGACGTCCCACTGAGGGCTGCGTTCAACTTGGCTTTCATGGAGCTCATGCTTGGGCTCGTGCATGTGAGGCACGCGTTTTGAAGAAATACTGATACAAGTCGTCGTGCGAGCACTCTTTGGTCGCGGAATTACCAAAAGGTGGGTTGAGAAGAGGATGACCAAAACACAAGAACAATTCAGTATAAGGCGAAGGAAAATACCTTCTCTAGATTATGAAGAACAAAAGATTACAATCTCTCCCTCACAATCTCACTAGAATCGAGAACAACCTCTCAATCCTCTCTAAACCCTAATCTCTCTTGATTAGAATCTCTCTTGATCACTTCTCTCTGAGATCTGATTGTTTAGAACCCTAAAACAATCCTATTTATAGATGTGCAAACGTGGATGACAATCTTGTAAATAAATAAGTCCAAAAGAATCAGGAATCCCTGTCAAAACAGAATCCAAAACGAAACAGGAAACCTAGAAATCGCGATCCGGTCGACCGCCAGGCTTGGTCCGGTCGACCGGCCAGAGAATTTTCTCAAACCCTGCATCGTGCAGGTTTTCCGGTCGACCGGCATGTGTACTGCGGTCGACCGGCCAGAGATCTGCCAGTTACCCTGTTCTTTTGCACGTTTCATTTCTGCTGACTTCTTCCACCGTCTTCTTTGGCTCCATCCATGCTCCTATTCCCAAGATATGAGAATCTCCTATCCTCAAGCTCGCATGAGGATCGCTAAGCTCCTGAAGAGAAGATACACCCGTATCATTAAATGTCCAAGCATTCTGTGATTGAGGCAATAGTTAGGATCATCTACTTTTCCCACTTCTTCAGGTCTCTTTACATCAGGAAGATGTAACTTGTTATTCTTCTGAAGTAGCTTGAATAGAGTAACCACAAGATCATCTTTAAAAGAGTATTGCTTGGCTGCTCTCGGTTAACCCGATTCCTTGCCCTGCTTAGCAGGTGGCACTTGAGTATTAGTATCAGTACCTAGGGTATCCTTTCCTTTTGATCAGGGAGCATTACATTAACTACGATGTACCAGCTTCTTCTGTTTACTTGTCTCCTTAGCTTTGATCCGGGTAACAAATTCTTCCGCTTGTTCTCCTTGAGAGGCCAGTGGTTTCCAGGAATGGCACTCTGTGACCCCTATTTGAGCTAGGAGGTTGGTCTACAAATTATGCCGATAGGTTTCTACCAGAGTAGCCTGTGTCATACCCGACGACCATCACACATGCTTCAGAATCTTTCAACGAAGGCTTTAATAGACTCTCCCTTCTTCTGTTTGGTGGTAAGAAGGGTAAGGATAGAGACTTCTGTGTCATCTTCGAAGAACCTGGCCAGAAATACCCTTTCTAAATCTGCTCACTTCTGAATAGATCCGGCAGGAAGTTTCATGAACCATTCAAAGATAACCCCATTAAGGATGCCAATGAATAAACGAGTCAAGATTGTTAGACCCTAGGGGGAGGGGTGATTAGGGT